GAGTGAGCCAAATTCAAATTTACAGCTCCACTTACCGAAAAATCTATGATATAACTGAAATCCTGCTGGTTCATCAGATAAATTCAGCTTTATGTAAAGCCCACTGGCTAATATGACACACATAGTCCCACCCCTGTTTTGGGTCCCAGTGGATTGGCCACAAGCAGAATGGAAGATACTGGTGGATGAATAACACCTTCACACCCTCCTGTGTTTCACAGGGCAGGTGCAAGTGCCTGAGAGGGGTTCAAGGAGTGGATATGAAGTCATTTTGGCCTCCAGCAAGCACATCTGTGCCTGGAGATGCTCTGGGTGTTTCAGTGGTGCACTGAGATTACTGACAGATGGAAAAGGCAAGATTTGAAATAGGTTAAACTGTAGGTTATAAACAGCTCTGTAATGCTGACATGGAATTTATGAACATCCTACGTTCTCTGCTGGCCCTGAAGGTTTTGCTTTTCAGAATTGCATAACAAACACTGTAATGTAGGTCCCATCTTTTTGTGTATAATCATAATCACATTTTGTAAGCTATCACGGTCTATCCTACTTCAAATAGTCACAACTTGGCTTTGAAAAGGTCAGCATTTAAACTTTGCAGAATCACAATTCCTGGGAGTACAACTTCAACAGCCCTGACAGAGGTAAGGATATTTCAAATACTGCCATACATTTGCCTCAGTCCTTTTGTATAAAGCCAAAATTATGTGTATAATAAACACATGTGCTGGAAAATGGTTCACCTTCTCAAATGAATTCTGCACTCCATTATTTAATAGATGCAACCTGTTAACAGGCTGGAGAAAAGGGCAGCATTAGATTCATTACACTAAGGGCTCAAAGGCCTAGAGCACAATGTCCTGGCTGAAAAAAAATGAATTCATTATGTCCTGCAGTTTTGAAAAATGGGTCAGATATGAAGAGCTCCATACAGGAAATTGCAGCTCTCATCATGCTGCTGCTTTGCCCTCCTCGTGGACAAGGTAGGGTGCTCTGATTTTAGGGCTTTTGTTGCACTGAATGGGTTATATACAATAATTTAAAAAGAAACTTAATGATTAAAGCTCTGAATTCAGCCTGCTAGATGAATGGCTCAAGATTTCAGGACTGGAATCGCACTCACAATCTGAAAGCCACTAAATCAAAACAGTGAGGAGACAATAAGGGAGTTGGAAGTGTCATTCCAAACCCAGGCTCAGTGTTTGAGGCTGTGAGCTTACACAGAACCCAAAGCCTGGCTGATGTCTTCATTTTGTCTCCTTTTGTGAAGGGACTTTCTGAAAATTCTCCTGGAGAATATCAATATACAGATGGGTGTTAAAGAAGATGAATGCCTTAAAAAGGTTACTGTGACAGGTGCAAATCCTCCAGCAGTCAAAATTTGGAAACAGAGACAATTCCTCATAAATCATTTGTAACAACTGAGAGTTACTGAGGGTAAAGTTTGAGGGGAAGGGGAACAAACAGGTTATGAATGTAAGAAAGGCCTCTCATACACTGATATTTCCTATTGACATTATTACATAGCACTGATTAGGCTGTGCTTTCAACTACTGTATAAAACACCATCAAGCCAAACTATCTACAGATTCCAGGCTGGATTTCCTCTAGTACAGTTACAATAGTCAGAGACCACTTTTCATGTCTTTTGTAGATATAGTTATGCTCTCAGATGGTTGCTTTAACTTATTTTAAAGGAAATCTGCAACACAGGCTACAACATGATGTACAAGTGGAAGACATATCTGGGCAGCCCAGCTTTCAATGATGGTCATTTATGTTTGTACTGGAGAAGGAGTGATTTTCCTTCTACTTGTTATTGAAACAGCAGCAGCTTGGCCAAGGACATAAAGCTGATCAGAGCACACCCTGGAACACCCAAGAATAGCTCCAAAAATGATCACAGTGTTAGCATTTATGGATGTTTTCAGGAAATGCCTAAGATAAGACATAAATAATAAGTTTGCAAGGCAACCAGCAGCCCTTTGATGGCAAACCAGGCAAGGAATGGTGGTGCTAAAAGGAACCTACCAAGACTAAAGTTTTCCCTGTGACTTCTGCTCAGCAATACAAGGGAACGATCAGATGCAGATTCTGTGCTATGGTGGATCTGCCCTGGCCCTGAGAACTGCCCCTGAAATGAACTCTGCTAACAGAGAGCTTGTGCCACAGCAGCTGATCTGCCTCCTGCTCTCTGGGAATGGGGACTGCAGATAGCACAAATGAGAAATGAAGCAGTAACAAAAGGGAATTAAACCTCTGTTTCAGACCTACTTTTGAGCAGGCTTAGTTTAACAGTTTTTTTCATCCTGTACAGTACATATTACACAGCAATTTTGAGAACAGTATAATTTAGAAGTTAACATCTGCTTAGCTGGTAGCAGCAGATAAAAGCTCTCATTTATAATGAACAGGAGAATTTGTTATTGCCCCAGTCAATACCTATTGACTTGGTAGAGCACTTCTGCTTATTACAACCAAATCCTTTCTCTGTTTTGTTCAGTAGTCAATGAACTGCAATGGAAGGTTCTGCTTATAAACTGGTGCAACAGCTACAAGTTAATGACTGATGGTTACAAAGAGGAAAGCATGTGCTAAGAACACCATCACACATCTATTAATCCAATTTACTGCATCTGATGTACCTTTATAGGTTAGTGGAACCGTAATGCACATCAGATAAATAGTTTCTGCTGTTATTAATCTTAGTTTCAGCACAGAACACCTTTTAATCACGCCATCATTAAATAAATAACTCTGCCAGGACAAAGTTCTGTCTGACGTTTACAACACACGTTTTAGTTACAGGAAATTTCCGTCCCGTGGTGCAGTTCTACCCTCAGGATTCAGTGAGATGCAAGACAAGTGTTCTTCTCCAGACTGAGGCCATGTTGTGCTCCAAATAGCACAGGTGGGGCTGTGTAAATGCGAGGCACTTCCTAAAGATAAAGCAGAGAGAGGGAAGCAGAGCAGAGCGATGTGCCCGTTGCTCAGCCTTCCTCCTGGCTTCCTGCTGCAGCCCAGCAGAGCTGCACAGCCTTGTCCTTCCCACTTTACAAACCCTGGCCTTTCCACACCCTGGGCTGAAACGTGCTGATAATTCATGTCGTCCTTTTTCATTCTACAATCGTGGCTCTATAACTGTTTGTTTGGTTTAAACCTGCCTGACCCCAAAATATTTTCTTTCTAACACTCAGTTCTATTTTATATCTGAGAAATGCACATGTTTTTAGGACAGTGTGACTACAACACTAACCCCTACTATTTTTATATTACCTTTAAGCAAACACTACAAAACAATAAAGTTTGTTGACAGCTTAAGGAAAAGCAGAGCTGCTAATGATGACTTTTTGGCTTACAGATGTCTATAATCACCTTTCCTGTAGAACATCACCAAACAGTCTAATGTTGGAGCACTGATTTATCTGTTTGACTCTGCTTTCTGAACGCAATCCTAATTTCTCTCTAGGCTGATGATGACTCATTACTGAAAGAAAATTTATAAATGCGGCAAAGATTAAACAATCGTGCCATAACCAAGTACATTATACCGTGTCCTTTGTGCATCATTTAATTGGATTTAAGCAGTGTTCATAAATCACAGCCATTTGCATTTTTCAGGACTGAGAAACACCCCCCTAGACCCACCCCACGGGTCCTGGTCACACCTGTGATGCTGCTATTGCTAAGGCTGGTGGAATTCAATTGCTGCTGTTCAGGATGAGGCAAGGAGCTAAAGTCAATTAAGTTCCCACATATTTACACCTCTTGACAAAGAGCCCCAGTGCTGCTCGAGATGTGCTCTTGTTTGTTGCCAGCAGAGCAGAGCAACGGAGACACTGAGCTGCATCTTTTCTGCAGTGCCCTGGATTTTGTTAGTCTGGTAACCAAACACACCCAAATAATAATAAATTTATCCTTGCAATACCGTGTGAAGAAAGAAAAAGATCCCCTTCTTCTTAATTTAGAAGCACAGGGACACAGATCTGAACAAGGATGGGTCATTCCATAAACCTGCTGAAATTCCATTCCATCAGAATGAGTTCAGGAGCTACTTTCCTCTTACTTCTAGTACTCTGTGTTTTCCAAACACAGCTTTTGATGTTGTATCAAGGTGAAAATAGGAAATATTCATAAAACATGGTTTGTATTTACTGTCAAGGTAAGAGGACGTTATTGTTTTATACATGCAACACTTCTCTTTAAAAGAAAAATATAGATACTGCAAATTGGCAAACAACATGGCTTAGCTGAGATGAATTAATTTTGAAAACAGCTTTTTTAATTCCAGTTTTTTAATTCATTACTGGAAAAACAGTTGGCGTTAAAGAAATTGCATGCATGTTAATCCCTTTTTCCTTAATACTTAAGGGATCACTAGACACTCAGCATTTCAGAAAAGTCCAGAACACCACTAAAAATGCTTGATTTCAGAGGCAAGGGATGTTCTTGGCAGCTGCAACACTTATGTAGAGTAAGACATTTTGTAGATTATTCTCAAATTTTAGTAAAATATACAATGGGTTACAAAGTGTTTACATTTCATTTCTTTAAAATAGGAAATGTATCTCTTCTGGTACCAAAATCAGCAAGCCTCCACCAAATAAACAATAAATACTGCTGCAAAAAGAAGAGTATAACTGATATTTTCAAGACAATTTGACTTCACTGTCAGCTCAGATATGTTTATGGTTTTCCCACTTGCCTACAAGCAACCTCTGCAGTCTATTTCATAAGAACCTGTAAACACATCACCCAAATGAGGGTGATGGTTATTAAAAAATCAAACATTTCTAACTGAAAACAAATAGGCTGTGCATATTTCCTATTATGGTCCCAAACTTGGCAGTATCAACTGTCACTTCATGATTTGGAAGATTTCCAAGAACTGCAATCCATATGGAATAAATGCTTAGTTTTGATACTAAATGACCTAGAATGGGAAATGCATTCCGTGGTTTAATAGATAAAAGTCTTAACTAAAGATTTCAGTGACTTACTTTTTGTGACAACTCCTTCCAGGCGGATTATATTTGGGTGATCAAACTGGCCCATGATGCTGGCCTCCCTCAGGAAATCTCTCCTCTGCCTGTCCACGTAGCCACCTTTGAGAGTTTTAATTGCAACAGGGATCTCTCTTTTTCCTGGGGTCTTCAGACGCCCACTGCACACTTCTCCAAACTCCCCTGAAACAGATAAATACTGGTTAGGTAGGTCACTCACACTGCCCGTGCACAAAAACCTTCCAGAAACCCTCACACCCCTTCCCTTAGAAGCGGGTAAAACACCAAAATATCCAGCAGTGCTTCACAACAGATAATCACCTGTCCTTTGTGCCACACCACGACATCACGGGGACTGGGATCACTCTCGGACTGTGAGACTGAACTTTGACATCAACTCGTGTGTGAGACAGAACTAACAATGTAATGATGCTTAAGGTTCTTATTCCAGTGATGACAGAATATCTGTCTAAAATATCTATTTCTAGCAGTATTTATCTCCAGGAGTGAAATGCACTGAGTCTCATAAGATAAGAAAAGCCCCAAGACCATCAGAATACTTGACCATCCTCCGATTACAGAAGGTATTCTAAAAGTCCTTTATGCTGGGATGTCCCAGAAAAGCACTTGCACATGATGTATATAAATGGGCTTACACACCTGCTTGAATTTAACTGTGGATTTCCCTGCTCAGACACCCAAAGGCCAAGAGTTTGAGCAAACCCGGACCGAGCTGCATGACAGGAGCAGTGTCAGCGCTTGTTCCCCCATGTTCTGCTGTCAATATTGTGGCCAGTGAGGATCGTGTGTCCCCCTGCAAGGTCAGCGCTTGTTCCCCCATGTTCTGCTGTCACCATTGTGGCCAGTGAGGATCGTGTGTCCCCCTGCGAGGTCAGAGCTTGTTCCCCCATGTTCTGCTGTCAACATTGTGGCCAGTGAGGAACATGTGTCCCCCTGCACTCCCTTCACACATTTACTGATCGAGTTTGTGTGGAAATAGCAACTTTCCTTTGGTCTTGAAGTCACTCAGCAGAGAAAAGCCGCTACCAAATGTACTCTGGATGCCTGCAGGTCACTTTTCAATCGGTCACAATTCAGTAAATGAAAAGCAACGTTCACAAAAATATTTCAAAGCACTGCCCAGTGCAGGGAACTTCCGTAGCAGAACAAATTTTCTATCCCAGTCATTTGGGAATCAGAGCTGCTAAAACCCAAAAAATGAATAATGAACAGATATATATGCCCAACTGGAGGAAATAAATTGTTACTCCTTCCATCAAGTGTTGTCTGTATTATTTTTCCTTAAACTTTATGGACAGAAGGAGAGAAAACAGGAGAGCTCCACCATGTAACAGTCTGCCTTCAGATATGAACCGAAGCCAGAAGAGAGAGACCCTAAAGGCAGAAGCTTCACTTGAGAAAACTGTAACTCCCTGATGTTACAGGATTAGAATGGATATTGTCATACAGCTTTTATCTTATTAGTTTCTGTCATTTCCACTGAAAGAAAACAAAATTTTATTAGTCAGTAAGGTCCAGGAAGAGTGGAGGGATTAAAAGAACAGTTTCATAGCTTGCCTTTCACTTCAAAGACAGAGGTATCAACAAGTGCAAGGTACAATTAACAAATACTGAGCATAATCTCTGAATAAATTAGCAGCTTCCTAAACAGATAAAAAAAATAAAGTGCCCCAGGTCTCCTTTCCAGAAATCCCCACTCCTCTCCTCACCCCTCAACTTGTTTTATTTCTACTTAATTTTCAAAAATAAATTAAGGCATGTGCTTCCCTGAAGATGTGTGCAAGTATAGGATATGTGAAAATATATGTCACAGAACCACAGTCTGCTGAACTGGACCTTATTGCATCCTACTGGTTTTTTCAAAATTAAATGCCTAAAATGAGAAAAATTTCCAATTTCTTTTTCTTGATGAAATAGCGAAAAGGAAAAATACTAGAGCCTTAATATCCAGATTTTTAAAGAAATTCTGTGATCAATAAATCTGCAGAACTGCAAAATCTCATTTTTGAGGATAATTTGGAAAGCACAGGTTACAGAATAAATGGGTTTGCTACTACAAGGTTATACAAGAGTACTACAACTTTGGAATTTCATCCTTCAGGGACTGTAAAAGGCTGTTCACCAAGTGTTTTTAATAAATTAAACCGAAGGAGGAAGGAGAAGGGCTTACAATTCCAAGATTTATTACCTGTGCAGCGTCTAAAGCAGGGAAAGGAATGTTGTGTCTTCTCCTTGACCTGTTCCTTTTACCTTTTTCTGGATTCATGATTTGTGAAGTTGGAAAGGAATTTCACTGCCCTTGGATATTGGGATTGACAAACTGGTGAACATCAAGACTAACAGCAGGCTTTCTGTGAGATGATGTCAAACACAGCGTGAGTGATCATCAGCTCCCAGAACACACAGTTCCCACAGTTAGGAACCTAAAGTGTGTGTGATAACTTCTGATTCTCTCTTAGACTAGATGGAGATCAGTGATATAATTAAAAGCACTGTGTTATTTACATTGAGAGCTTGACAAGATTTCATCCCTCAGTAACTTTTCTAGGCTTTTCTTCAGACAAAGAGTTTTCTGTGTTCTTAAAGTCAAGGGGGAACGTGCTCAACAAAAGGGATTTTTAAAATCCAAGAATCTAAGTGTCATTGCTCAGGTTTGATGATAAACAAGACAAATGTTGACCCTGCAGCAGTAAAGGTTCATGACTGCATGTGTAATGAGTGGAAGCTGAGAGCCAGATGTCAGTGAAGTCAACAGCTCTCCTTGCTGATGATAACTAGAGAAAAAAATAGAGTTCAATGTCTGTTTAGTTTTAATAAAATGTAAATAATCCCTGATTGAATGATATAAACCTCACACGTCTTACAGTGAGTTACACAAAAAGAAGCGAATTGAGCAGCCTGGAAACTTCCCCTGTGCAAACCACACGTTTCTTTTTCTCACCCAGTCAGAGCATGTGTGTTATTTGAAGGGAAATAGGAATAGTCAGCCCTTCAGAGTGTGCTGTGCAGTCTGGTGTTACTACCTGGGATCCCAACAAATGTCTCCCAGCACAGACAGCTGCTGCTGACACAACTGGAAGGTCACAGCACCAAATACAGCTCGGCTCATGCTCCCAGTTTGGTCACCACAGCTGTGGGAGAGCCAGCAGGAGGGTTGGATTGTGAACAGAATATAGTCTGCTCTCCATGAAAAATGGGGGAGCTGGTCTCTGCCTTGAGTTCCAACTTTTTAATGAAGAAAATAAGAGGCTGATTTTGACTGTGAAGACAGACTTGACAAAGGACCTCTGGGAATTCCTTCCTGGAAGGGGTACCAAAGCCTTAAACCAAAGAGCAAGGAGTGAGGGGGCAGGAAGGAGTGTCCTGGGCAAGACAGAGACAAATAACAGGATAAAACGGCAGTAGGTGCAGCAAGCTCAGCATGAGAGCTGCTGAAAGGGACCATCTAAAGAAAACCTGCAGCGATGAATAGATGGCAAATTGTGGGAACTGGCAAAAGGGCACATTGTCACCTTTGTAATAAACCAATAGGAGATCTGATGGAATATTTAATATTAGTGATTAAAAAAATGTCAGCCGAGAGTTTGGAATCCAAGAATATGCAACAGCAAGTTAAACTATACTAAAACTTCGTCCTAAAGAGTAGATGAAATAAAAGGGACCATTGCATCATCTAAATAATAACCATTGTAACTATTGCTGGAATGTGAACTTCATGAAGACAGGTTTATTTGGTTGATGCTATCACAAGCTAAGCAGGTAACACAAATAGGTTCTGTTTTGCTTTTTGGATTGTAATCTGCTTGTTATTATGAGTTTTTTATCAGTCTGCAAATGCCATTTTGTTTGTAAACTTCTTCCCCTACTGTCTTTACCCTCCTGTTTGAACCAAGACAGAGGGAGAAGATATTAGAACAATAACAAGAAAGATCACTAACAGCTATTAACTTGGATAATTTTTCCTGGGAAAGGATTTGAATAGAGATTGCACTAATTCATTTTTATCTTGAAGTCATCTCACAAACTCAGTATCCTTTCTTTAACTGTTTACCTTTCTTATTCTTACCTGCCTAATGAGATGAACTTGCAGTAGTAATGTTTATTAAATCTACAAATAAATGTAGGGACATTACCTTTTTATTTTGGCTATGAAATCTTTGATTGTTGCTGGCCAAGTGTCATTTTGATCTTTGTGGCTACCAAAGGCTATTTTCCAACCCGCTGTTTCTGCTTGAAATTCTTGCTACTTTTTCAATTTGACATTTTCCTCTATTTATATATCATATAATACTACCTTTATGTTACTAGGACTTGACACCAAAGGATCAGACCCAGCTGTCCGTGTAACACGGCTAATAGGATTGGTTCTTAAAAAGTGAAATGGAAACTTTTCGTTCTTGAATGGAAATCATTTTCAGTGCAAAAACTAAAGTTACAGAAGTTAAAAATGAAAATCATCGACCAAATAAAATGTTAAACCAGAACAAATTTAAGAAATGCATCAATATCTTCTTAAGAGATATTGATGTTTCATTTTGTAAAAGATGTTGATTTTTGGTTTTGCTTAGGTGAAAATTGCAAACATCTTTTTAAAGTAATTCTCCTGTGATAAGAAACACATTTTATATCCAGTTGAAATGTTTAATACAGAATTAGAGTGAATCCATAGAGAAAGTTTTAGGGCTGTTGTGAATTATCCCAATAGGCTGTGTCCCTTGGCAGCTACCGAAGAACTGTGTAAGGATTTGTAGTCTCTCTGCCTCAGCCATGGTATTTAACCTGTATCTTGCCCCATATAAATAGGTTTAAATTTCATTTCAAGCAGTTTGTGAGTCCTACTAGGTGAACATTTTTTGAAGATGGCAAATTGCCCAAGTAATTTTAGAAAAATAAAAACCCATAAAAATAAAATGTCAATGTATACACTCCCCCACATAAAAAAAAAAGGGGAGAAAGAAGCTGAGTAAAGAATTTTCATGAATTAATGAAGTTGAGAGTAAGGACACAATTTTAATCTGAACTAAAATCAATAAGCCCAGTCCTTGTCTATTGTATCCAACTGCTCTGAAATCAGTAGTTACACCAGCGTTAATGTAGTTCAGGATGCTTTATAATCCAAGCCATCAACAGGAAGACATAAAATAAATCAGATGGACTGTTTTCTGCAGAAATCAGCCCTCTGGGGCTCTCTGCAGCTCAGAACTGCAAAGGTGCACAGAGCTACATATTGATGGCTTAAGCAATCAGGTGGAGTGGAGTGCTGCAGGGACATGGACTGCACGGCAAACACAACAGCCTCTCTTACCTTCAGGTCGATGCTTTTCCCCCCCTTTGTTAACAGACGTGGTTTCATTTCTGTTATATTATTTACATCCCCTTTTCTAGTTCATGAAACGTTTTTTAGCAACACTGAAGCTATTTCTGCTCTTATCAGTGTAGCAACATATCATTTAATGAGGGCAGTGAAAAATACCCCTCCTTTCTAGAGTGACTAAGACGCATGAAACAGAGATAAAAAAGAAGGATCACAGGGCATTATGTCTTCCTACAGTAATCTTCCTGGCAATACCTGCTAGCCTGAGTTCTTTGGTGGGTTCGCTGTGAGCAGATTAAAATGGGGTTTGCTTTCCACTGAACCCCTTCTACAAGATGGAACTCATTTTTTAAGTCTGTTGTGTTGTGAATGACTTCATTTTTTTTTCTTCATGGCATTAAAGTTTAAGAAAGTAAATAAGGTAAAATTAATTAGCAAGTAATAAACCAGCACTGTTAAAGGAAGCCCAGCAGCTCAAAGATGGGCACTGGAGTATGGAACATACTAAATAATGCTACTGAAATAAAATTACACTGAGGTGAACATCTGTGCAGTCAGTATTGTAAGCACCTTTAACACAACAATTTACAAAACTTAGTCACTCTTAGTATCTTAAGGACCCAGAGAAATATCCATATTGCGTAATATGAAGACAGGGAGTGTTAATCTCCTTTGCAGGAAGAAATTAGATTTCAGAGCTGCATTCTGTTCCTACATTCATCAAAATTTCTGACACAGACTCTCAGCTCTCCCACCTCCCCCTTCTGTCGGGGCTGAGAGATGATTAATTCTCCTCAGCCACTGTAGGATGTAAAACACCACAGGGACTCCAGACTCTCCTCATCAGTCTGTTTTGTGTTTTCATTTGTCCTAACTGTAAGAGATGTTGGTGGGCTTTCTGGATGGCATGTTGGCCATCAGCCCTGCACTGAGATCCACCAGGCAGGTCAGTTTGCCAGGCCTTTTTCTGGCCATGTCTCTCGGAGTCCTCAGTAACCCATGAGCTGGGTAAAACAGAAAGAGCAATCTCAGGCTCTGGGCATCAGTGAACTGTTCTCTGTCCCAGGCCATCAGAACACAGGAAATGGTTTTACAGGACTGTTTTCTACAGGTGTTTCATTTTTGTTGAGTGAATCTCAGAGGAGTGTTTTCTGTCACCACTGAGCCGGTGAGACCACCACAAGGACCTCTAGTGAACTCTGGAAAGCAGCCACGAGCCTTTACCCCTACAGAGCCTTTCCAGAGGTCAGTGTGTGGGAACACTTGCACATCCTTTTCCTGAGCATAAAAACCTGACAATTAACCCAGGCCTCAGACAAGAGGATAACACTGAATGCACATCAGCCAAAGTAGGACCCCTGAAAACACAAGGGGCATGTTATCTCCCCCAGGAAAAAAGAGCAGTGTACGTGCAGGATGAATGGAACTCCTGAAATATCATCAAACAGCTGTGAAATGGCATCTACATCCCCAATGAGGTGTTCTCAACTGAAGGGAAACACTATAGATGAGGACAGAGTCTAAAACAATTGTTCAGGTGTAATTCCTTTCTGTCTCCACCTCACAGCTGGACAAAGAGGGATACAGGAGGAGATCATGAAGCTATTTTTCCATTCATCCTGCTTTTCAAGTCCCCATCACCTTTCATGCTGTCTCCACCTCCTTATCCGAATTTCCTCTTTTCCCTGTGCTAATTGATCCTTCTCCACACAGCAAAGCCTGTCCCAAGCCAGCCTCTCCTTTCCCTCCCCTCATCCTCCTCCTGTTTTTCATTTGAGAATAATTTTTTCTCAGTCTTCCACATTCTGAACTTGTCTCCCCACGGACAGAAATTCTGATCTAATTTCACCCTCAGCGACTGAGAACACGTGACAATAACCATGGCAAATGCTGAGTGACACAACGTTCTGAGTGCATCTGGAAAAAAGAAACAAACCCCTAACAAACAGGGCAAAAAACCAACCTTCCCCACCCAAAATTATAAAGCCTTAAAAAACATTTAGGATAAAACGTTGCTCTGGAGAATCTCCCTGTAAAGGACTCCTGGTACAACAGATTTGGAGCATTAGCAGATACAATACCTTAGATATTCTGCACTTTGGAGAGGACTGCCAGAGAAACACACCCACATTCGTGCTGTTCTTTACCACTTGTATTATCCTGGTGACTCAAGAGAAGCAGCCTTGCTATGCCTGGGCATTTCTTTTTAAAGTGGGTATGGTTTTACCTGCCCCAATGACTCTTTCAATACGGATTCTTGAAGGGTCTATCTCCTTTGCAAACTCGTGGACAGCAAGAGATGGGTCTTCATAGGTGTCTGGATCGATGTAAGTTTTGAGTCCTGGGAAACGCACTGCAAAAAAAGAGACAATAACAAGAATCAGGAACTTTGACATTATGCACTGGAATAAGATTTATATTTTATTTTGATTTTTTTTACCTAGATAACTGAAAGGATTGGAAAGGATTTATTAAATCTTCCACATTTAAAGTTCCAGAACCCAGTAGAAGAGGACAATGGCCCCAAATTACTAACGATGCTTCTCTGACAACCCAGCACGAGCAAAAGCATTCCAAAGCACTGACTGAAGCTGTAACACGGTCCTGCTGGGCCCTGCTCAAATCTTCTGAGATGTTCTGGGTGACTGAAAGCAGGGACTCTTCCTCAGGACTGCTGCAGTGCACTGCCACAGCAAACATCCTTCCAGCTTGCAGTGATGGCTGGTAACCAGCACACAGAATAAAGAAAATACCAGTATCCCTTTCTCTGAATGTTATTTATACCTCCAGTTACTGTCAAGTTTGCCAATTCCATGAGCCCCAGAGTTTATTCTGTCCCACGGGAAGAAAAAGTCAAAGGCCTTTAGAAAACTCAGTGTTTGGTATTTAACTTGATTAGAGAGTGTTGAATTCTTGTGCTGTTTTGTCTCTGTCCCAGATGAAAACAAGCATCTCCTAAGAAACACCATTTCAGGCAAGAAAATTAAGAGGACAATAAAGGTTTTGGAAACTTATTCCTAGGAAGAAATACCAGCCCTAGTTATGTTGTAAGGAAAATTCAATTTTGATTTTGAGTCTGTATGTTTTTTTAATTGTAAGCATTTCCTTTCTAAATTCTATTTGATATTTTAGTCTGAAGAGGCTCCTTGGAGTCTCAGCACTTAGCTTACATCCTGAAGGAATGCTTCAAGTACAGCTGGTAAATTTGGAAAATGCAGCAAGTCAGGAGAAAACATGAGCTGGTCACTTGAAAGGCTGTCTCGAGGGACACCAAGTGAGGGCTCAATGATCTGGGGAAAAGCAGAACCTCGAGACCAACAGTGATTACTGCCAAGGCAGCTTAACATTCCCCTTGGCTCCTTCTTGGGCAATTTGGGCAATCTGTCCCTCACTTTGAAAACACCAGTTTCTAATTCACTCCTTTCATTTAGGAGTGGATGGCTGAAAATTCCTTTTGCCAGACAGGTCAATTTTTCGAGATCTTTTCCTCTAAGGATGGGTCCTGGAGGCCTGTGCTGCTTTGTCCTCCTCTGGTCAGCTGGCACAGCCAGAGAGCCAGGTGCAAGATGAGAGCAAAACCATCCAAGTCCATTTACAAGGCTTGGGTAATTCCTGTAATTCCTGCCTGTTTCCTTGGAGATGGCCGTGGCAATGGTGGGATGGTGCCAGATGGTTTTGGAAGGCTCCAGCAAGCCCTCATTTCCTGGCACACCTGGTATCCCTGGTGTTCCTGAGCACTGTATGTTCAAGAGTTCCTTGCTGTTTCTCTTGGACTGTCTGGATGGAAACCCTTTCCAGGCTGCTGCCATGTGATGATGAAGTTCTGGAAAACTTTCAATCCATTAACAGAAGCTGATGTAAATAATGCATCAACTTATCAGGATAAAAGGAGGCTGCTGCAGCTAGGTCCAGAGAATGCCTTTACAGAGGATTCAGCCCTTCTCAGCCCTTCTCTTCTCACTCCATAGCTGAGTCTGAGGCAGTTCATTATCTGCTGAGCTTCAGCCAGTCTGGGAGTGCTCACCCTTTGCTGGGCCTGGAGAGCCTGCACAGTCCCATGTGCTGTTCCCAGCTGAGATGCTGGATGGTAAATCCACAGGCAGCCAGCAGGCAGGTGGGGCTGCTGCATGCAGGATGTGTTTATGCAGGTGCTGTTCAGTGGGAAGGAGGCAATATTGCTGGCAGAACACTCTTGGCTGCCGGGGTAAATCACAATAATTCCCTCTATCCTTGGTTCTGTGGAGCACACAGATGAGCAGGGATTTGCCCCCTCCAGTGTGATGCTGAGACAACTGCAGATGAACGAGAAGCCTCTGAGATGAAGCTTCGTGTCAACATGAAATACAGTTACCATTTCCCCTGGCCTGGAAGACACTGAGTGAGGCTTCCCTTTCAATGCAGTGACAGACTCAGAGGCATAAATCAAACCCTCCTGCTGGAAGGCTTTTGTCCTCTTTCCTTTCTGACCGTGCTTGGGAGCGAATGACAAACAAATACTCCTAGGAAGGATCCACTGTGGGGAATGTGCCCTTTTCCTTGGCACAAAAAGGCACTTGGCTGGATATAGTGGTGTCACCTGCAAAAAGATTTTTCTTCTGGTGACTCAACTTGTGTGTTCATCATGGTGTTTCCAGGGGTGTTATCAAAATGATGAAAAAATAGAAGTTATTACCCTTTGTATAAAACCCTTGGAATAATAATAATAATAATAAAAAACCAAACAGTAAGGCAAGCAATTTAAAGTAGGTAGCTAAACTAAACTATATAAAGCAATGTACTGCCCAGGAGAGATTGGCAGGATTTTCTCTCACTGTACTGGTCAGTGAGCAGGAACATGAGGGAAGATAACCCATTCCACTTCTTATTTCTTGGGTGGCTGGAAGTGCAGATCCCTAAATCCAAGGAGAACTAGAGACAAATAAGTCACACAGTCACCAAGAGAGGGACTTTGAGCAGAAATTTAATGTCTAGAACAACTGAGAGCTCTGATTACATATTAACAATGGAATGCCAAAAAATCCCTTAATAACTAGAGTGAATGCAGTGAAATTGTCCAAGAGGACATAAACCACACCCACCTTTGATGATGCAGACAATGAGGAACTACCAAAATGACCAGATTAAAACATCAGGGGAAAAAGCCGTCCGGGAAACAATGAACACTCTTCATTTAAAACATGATGGAGATACCATGTAACACGGTGTTGAACTACTTACAGTGTCCATTTTGCAGATGAGCCCTTCTTTTCTCCTCAGACTTCATTTTGGCCTTTATGTACCACTGGCATCTGTCGAGAAAAACAAGTGAGGTTTTAAATAAAATACTTGCCGTGGGTAAAATAAATGGTACATTAAGTTTTATCTGCCCTTTTACGAAAGCCAGAACCTTTGCATTTGGAATACATATTTAGCTATGAATCTAGAGAGGGAAATATAAAGAACTACAAATAGATTACCTACAAAGAAAAATAGATCATTGCTGAATTATTAGCATGAAAGTGACTACTTGAATTTAAATTTCATTCAAAACTTTATTTTCAAGTTTGACTCCTTCAAAGAATTCTGACACTTTGATAAATTATCACTTCCCTGCACTCCTGTTTGCATACGTAAGTTTGTGGTGATTAAACCTTATCCTATTAACTTCCACATACAGTGGGTCAGAAAAGCTCACATTTTCTTTTTAATTGAATAATAATGACTTCACCACATTTCATGAAAAAAGGACATATTTTTTTCACATCAGGATCACTTTGTTTCTTTCTTTTTTTTTTTTTTTTTTTTTTTTTTTTTTTTTTTTTTTTTTTTTTTTTTTTTTTTTTTCTGAGTGGCTCTGTGCAGTCTGAGCCAGGCACTGATTCATTATTTCTCCTAAGACAGCAAATATCACCCAGGATAAACACCACACAGCCTGCTATGTGACCACGAGGTTTTAGCATATGCCTCCACGATTGCTGTAAAATTACAAATCCTCGGCAAACAACCCCAAACTCTGTGGATGCTCGTGAATTGTCAGCAACCACTCCTGACAATGCAAGGGTGAATGCTGGAGCAAACTGCACATGGCAAGGGTTTGGGTTCCTGGGAATGGAATCTCCCCCAGCCCGAGCGCTGCCTACCTGTTAATGATGGGTTAGAGGAGCAACTGCCTCAGGCAGGAAAAAAGCAAAAGATTTGATCTGGGTCTGAAAGCTCGCTCTCTCTCACCGAACAGCCCGAGGATTGTTATCTAGAGGGGAATCTTTTATTCTGAGGGCTGCTGAGGCACTGAACCCAGTGGAGAAGAGCAGTGCCTGTGCACATGTTACACACATCAGCTACAGACACGCAGTTCCAAAACCAGCTTGGAAAGGAATGACTGAACTCTGTATATACATTAATAGCCTCATAAAATTAAATAACCATTCATTAAAGGCAGTACATCCACGCTAACAACGTAGATATGAGAGATAAGTGAACACACCCACCTTGTTTCAATGGTCACTTTAAACTGCTGAAACACAGCAGGAACACTCACAGTTTCATTCACTGCAACACAGGGAATGGGCAGGAAATTCTGTACCCTCATGGAGGGAAATGCAAACCGGTGGATTCTCAGATTCTGTGCAAACCTCGAGGTTGTAAACCAGTCTCTGTGACCACTGAGGATGACAGAGCCATTTCCAGGACCTGATCAACTGCTCTGTAGGGTGCCAAGTGCCAGGAACACTAAATACAAGTTCTTATGCTTCGGGTGTCTGCCCAAGGGAACAGTCAAACAGACAAGACTTTAACCCTGTCCAATCCTCCCAAGAATGCACGTGGCCCCAGAGTGTGACAGAGGCCACTGATGAATCACCAGCACAGGAGTCTCCTCATCCTCATTCTCTGTTGGTGTTGGCTACAGAACAATCCGAGAGCAATAATTTCTGGAAGGATAAGGCTAAATCACACTGAGCTGTAACGCCACAGGTCCTGGAATCAAGCCAGGATCCCCTGTCCCGTGCCTCCAACTCTCTGCTGCCTTCATTCGTCAATCTAGAACTGACAGTGGTGCTTCCTGCTGGCTCTTGGTGGGATAATCACTCAGCAAAGTGCAGGGCCAGGTGCTCATTTAACCCAGCCTCTCCACCGTGAATAGACTCATCAGCAGCCCCGAGACTCGGCAGCTCATCAAATTGGTAATTCTAAACACTGCAGCAGAGCACATCTGTAGGGTACCAGGCACATTTTTCATGCTGAAATTTGCCTCCAGTCCTAGAGCAAATTGAGTATTTATTCAAAATTTTCTTGCTCTGTCTTCTGTGGAACACGCTCTTATCACTGCATTTAAGCAGCACTTCAAAATGAATTCGTACCTTACATAATTGAAATAGTCCCATTGAGTAAGGCATTAGAAAGCTGAGAGGATCTCTGATATCCTCAATGCCAGCAAACAGGAGGGATAAACAGAAAGAAACTCATTTCCATATATATTTTTTTTTTTCATTCCTGAGTTTAGTGAGTTTTTCCTACAGGAAATATTTGAGGTGTGCTTCAGGATTTCATGTAAGGATTCCACACAATCATTTGCTCAGGGAGTTTGTCTAAATAATTCCTCTCTCTTCTGGAAGACCCTACTGTTTATCAGCTCCTGGAATAACGGCAGGAATGTTTACTTAGCTTCTAAGATCATTTAAGGTCCTGCTCTCATCAAGTTCAGCAGAGAGTTAGACTTAACCGGTTGTATTATTTAGCAGAAAGAACATTAATGCACAGAATGGCAGCTCCTGTAGTGCCATATCTAATTGTGGAGGTATTGCAAATAAAGCTTCTGGCTTACACTGATAGAACTCCACTTTCTTTTCAGGTTAGAGGTAACGCTACACCAGCAAAACAGACACATGGTTACAAATCTAAAAGTGCCCCACAGCCCACTGATATCAGCCCTGTCTCTGATGACCATTATCACATTCAGAAGAGGCAAGTTTAGCATCATTTCCTGCAGTGTAGACACTGGTCCTAAACAGGACAGCAGGAGTGCAGAGTCCTGTCCTAACTCTGGGTTCTTTCTGTCCCCAGGCCAGGTAAGAAGGAAACTCCCTGGAGAATCCTGCTCATGTGGAGGCTCTTCCAGCACCTTGGTGTGGGAAAGGGGAAAAGGATAGAGAGGGGCCAGAACCCACCCAAACTCCCAGATCTCACCCAGGAGATGGGGTCACAGTGTCCTTGTCCTTTTAAATTCTGCTTTGCTTCCAGGTGGAAGCAGGTGAGATCCCGAAATCAGGCTCAGTGACAAAGGGAAAAAGGCACCCTGGAAGGAGCTGTGCCTGTGGGAATCTGAGCTCCAGCAAGCACTGCTGTTCCTACCTACACGTGTCTTTTTTAGCATGCCCAGTCAGAATTTGTGGGTTCCCTTAAAACCTAATCTATGCAATTCAGCGTGGCATCTGGCACTCACACCAGAACGCCTCCTCACCCCGTTTGCACAGTGCCATTGTTTGATCCTAATCTACACATCCACTGAAGAAAGGTGGACAAAGAGCACTGCACTGAAGGAACTGGGAGAACTGGCTCGTTATAAAACCCCCACACTGTCCAGACTGGTGAATTCCCCTGCCAGTGCAACAGTACTGCTGCAATACACATTCAATTGGGATAGCTTCAATCTTAAAAAAAACCCCAACCAAACCAAAAAGCAATAAAACAAGACCTTTAGAAACTATTTTCTGTTTGCCAGAGATAGCAAGCAATAGAATCATTCCAGTGTTTCAGAGTAGTTTTCCTTAGTTTAATTTCATTACATAATTCCTGCCTTTTATCTTAACAGATGCAGAAATGTGCATATAAAACAGGTGCAGAATTTTGTATGACTTTTCCTACAAATTTAATATAGAGAAAGTAATAAAAAATGGTCCGTTCAAGTGCATTTAGCAAGCTGCATTGCCAACCCCAAGACATCAAAAATCCTAGGGTTGCACCCTCCAAAGCCTTGCAATTTACCATTATGAGATTTTTGTAAAATATACTGTGGGGATCTTCTATTTTTTTTTCTTTTTCCTGTTATGTCAGAGCCTGGAGGGTGCAGCAGGTACAACGTCCTTTTAAATGTTCACTCTGCAAGCAAGAGGTCCAGTAAGTTATTTTTAAAATATCCAAGCTATTTCCCAATTTCACAGACTTGCTTATCTCCCCAAACCCAAAGAAGGCATTCACCCCACTATGTTTAACCTTTATTTCAGCACTGACAAAGTGCTTTACTGATTTAACTACTGCATTTTTAGTTTCAGACGGTTCCAACCCTGCCTGAATGAGAACGCTGCAGCTTTAGTTACCTGCCAGTGATGAGGAAGAACAGAGTGAGGATGACCAGGAGGGTGAATCCCCCGACAGCAGCAGTGGCGATGACCAGGATCTGCCCCTGCTCCGCAGCCATGTCAGAAGCTGGAAGAGAGCACAAAGAGAAGAGGTCAGTGCTTGTGAAGGGGGGGTGGAAATGTTCCAGTGGTCAAAGGCTGCAGATGGTTTGTAATGGTTTCCCCTTGCTTAGCAAGGCCATCAGAGGGGAGAAACCATAATCCATGTCCCAGGCAGGAGGAAGGGGAGAAGGGTTTGCAGGTTTCTAGAATGAGGAGTTGGCATTATCAGAAACTTGTGGTTTACTTAAGTTTGAACACGACAGGATTTTCGTCTTTAGCTTTATTTATCTTAATCCTGAACCTAATTCAGAACCTCTCTCCATCCACCTGGCCCATGGAGTCATCAGCAGTGCTGTGTGTGTAAGAGATACTAAATCAGCAAAGCAGAAAAAGAGAAATGTGGAGCTTCACACACTCTTCAGCAAGTCTGGCATTTATTTTTACTGACACCAAACACGTAGAGTTTTACCATAATATGCTTTTGAGGATTGTCAACACTGCAGCTGAAAACTATTAAAATCCATTTTCTTATGCCTCGTGTTTTTCTCTGCTCTTTGTAGGGTATTCAGGAGTTAAAAAAAATCACCTGAAATTATCTGGTCCCCAAACACTTGCTCTTTTTATAAATTTATTGTGTGTAATAATAAATTTTCACACTGACAAAGCCTACAAACCTACTTACATTGAGGTTGGTCTTCACTGTCCAAGTGCTACATGAGCAGAAAAAGAATTAGGCTTGTTTTCTTCTCTGTCTCCTGTCTTGTGACTTCAAAGTTTTATCTGTTAAGCTCAGTTACACTTGAACATTTGCACCACGTGACATTTACCCTATTCTTACTTCCTATTTCCATGGGAAATAAAACATTGTTTTGAAAGGAGAATAAATGATTCTATTCAATGACCTCTGACAAGAGTAGTAAAAAAGAAAAGAAAACGATTTTTTACATTTGTCAGGAAAGCAACTTTGATATTTTAAACTGGCAAACTGTTCAATTAGCAAAACCTTCAGCTTTCTTTTGGCACCAGCTGATTAAAGCTCAGGGAAATCACCCAGGCTGCTGCCTAGAAATCTCAGCAGGCAAAATTCTCTCACTTTGCAGCTGATGAAGCCCAATACCATGCACACATTGCTGTCCAAAGCCCCATAAAATGCTGTTTCCAAGAAAAACATTTGGCCTCTAAATAATATTTGTGTGGATTTAGAAACTAGCAGTGTAAACTGGCTTTGTAACAGCAGTAAAGCAAATAAAAACAATGGGAGTTTATTTATGTCAAATTTTCAGCAGAAAAGCAACTTGTTCAATTTCTGCATTAGGTTTCTGTGCATATAATTTTAGGGAATCATGCACAGGCAGTAAATTACAAGGCTCTCAGTGTCTGTGGTCATAAGCTTTCTGCAGACAAGTTAAATATACACATTTTCCAATAAATGGTGTAGCAAATTCTCCCTGAATAGCTAATCTGCAAAATGATATCTAGTGATGCTGTGGGAGTGGATGAATTCTAGCTCTGTGCTGTGTTATGTTCCACAGGGTCAGATTTAGCTGGAAAAATACAACATAACAAATATCGTGCCACAAAAGTAACAAGGCAAATAATAACGGGCTCTCCAAATAAAACTCTGAGTGGCATTTTCAGACTAGTGGGAGTTGTGCTAAATGTTGCAAAGATTGTTCCAGCCAGGCACGGCTGGAAGTTGTAAGTGGAGGAGGTTTCACAGGAGTCTTCCTTGCCCATCTCTGCGATGGAAGGGAGGGAACAAACTGCAGCTCTCTTTTTGGTTTTTAGTAGGAGAAAGATGGGGGGGAAAATAGTGAATTCAGCAGGAGAAAAGCAAACCACAAACTCAGATAAATGAGCTGTGGTTTCCTTCAACAGACATTCACTGCCAAGGCAACAAGCCAGGACCTGTTTTGGTGTAAACGTTGGGACTGATTCTATGGTCCAAAGACCCACCCTGCAGCTCTGGAGATGGGCAAAGTCCTGTGTCCTGGATCCTTTCTGCTGGATGGAGATGCTATTTCCTGGAGTTCTAGCTAAAGCAGAATCCTATCTATCCATTTAATAACACATATTTTCTGTCAGGAACCAAAGTTACAGGAATGAAGGGGAGAAATTCCAGCCTGACTTAAGTCCTTCCCACCTCTAAGTAGTGTTATGTTTAGCTGAGACTCTGTGTACTTAAAAAGTGACCATTCTGGTTCTCTTGTTTATATTTTACTGTGTTGGCAGAGATGTCAGAGTCCAAGACATTAGGATTTCTTTTTTTTTCAAGTAGCCAAATCACTACAAGGAGCTCTCGAGCCTGAAACTTCCAGATGACCTTAATTTACTTGTCAGATAGAACAGTCAAATGACAGACAAGTGTAATTGGAAAATGGGGATTTCTTAAAAACTGACAGAGAGGCAGGTAAGGTAAAATGATGGAAATACTTATTTTTGCTTGAAGTGATCCTTCAATGAAATCAATAAAGGCCCAGCGCAGTGAACATCACAACATAAGCACATGTGTATGCACACACACTGACTTATCGCAGGTAGGTAAAAGGTTCCACCAAACACAATTTAGACAGTGAGAAGACAGCAATCAGGGACACTCAACACTTTTTTTTCTTACAGTATTTTGCCATTCTAGATTAAATTCAATGTGTCTCTCAGTCTCTCTGCTCTTTTCTAGTTTCTCCAGCCTTCTCTTAAGGTCAAGTTCAACTTGTAAATACTGAGGGCTTTAATTGCTTCTTTTCTGCATGTTCTTGAATCTTTTTTTGTAATTTCCTGCTTTTTCTTCCTTATTTTTCCTGTGCATATTGGTATATGCCCCTGTGTCTCTCCTCAGGACTATTTTGATTATTCAGGACAGAAAAACTCAGTTTAAAATCCAGTGATGGTAAGCTGCAAAGCCAAGCAAGTTCCTGCAACCTTATTTCATCTCTTTGTGTATACATACTAGTCTACTGCATTTAGTCACAGAAGCACACAGCATTTTCCCCCCAGAATCTCGATTTCAGACAACACTGTCAGCATTCATTCAGCTCAAATCAATACTTTGTTGCCTCCACGCTGTCCAGTGCACACTCTCACACCTGCCAGGTGTGCCCCTCCCAAATCCATGCAGCGCTGGGTGATGATGGCTCTGTGAGCACAGGGGTGAATGTGGCTGCACCCTGTGTGGGGCCATAATCCATCTGCTGAAGCTGATAGGCAAGGGGGGGAGGAAGCACTGGTGCAACAGGAATACATAAGCCAGTAAATTAATTTTGACAGAAAACATACTTTAAAAAATGAGTATCCTAAGACAAGGAAAAGGGAGAATTTGTTACTTATCCCAGCAGATGATTCAGTAGTATTCTGTAATGTTTGAGTGTCAAAACTCTTCAAACACATTGTGCCTACAACTAATGTGATTAGTCAAAGTGATGACTTCATTTTAAGACTGCAGCATGTCTATAATACATTATTATCCAGATAACTCCTCACTCCCCTTACTCCTCATGCTCAGCTCAGGTTGTATGCCTGGGAGGACACTCAAAGTGTTTAATTGCATGGTTCCAGCTTCCTTGCTGGACACCACGCCCAGATACCCCTCCTGCATCCAGCCTGGTGTCCGTTCTACCCCTACAAGCTCCTCTTTACATCCACACCCTGGGTCTGCTCCTCTCTGGGTTCCTCATCCCAACGTGTGCAGGAGGAGCTGCACATTCCCTCCTCACTGGGAAATATCCTAAAGCTTCTTCATTTCCTCACTGGGCAGACTGGAAGAAATGGGGCAGACGTTTTAGTCACAGCACGAGGGAGAATCTTTCAGCTCTGCTCTTCCTTCTCTTCGAGCAGATTTCTCCACAGTATTTTAAAAGTTTGAGTGTTTGGTATAAAAGGGTTGGAAGCCCTAACAACAGCTCCCTCCTGTCTCTTAGCTACATCCTTTAGTTATTTCAGCTTGACATCTATCAGGCACCAGGCCTTCCAGCAGACTTCAAGATAAAGCAGTGACAAGAAAGACAGCTAGACAGATAATAGTGAGCAGCTGTAGGATAGATAAGTGTGGACAGTGAGAACTGCAGCTCTAACAGACAGGAACTGGCTGTCAGATGGCTTTACAAGGTTTGGTAAACAACAGTGCTAAAGAACAACAGATAAGTAAAACACAGACTCATTAGGATAACCTTTACATTTACAATGAGCTGAAGGGCTCCAGTCAAAGGGGGAATGTGGGAAAGGGAGAGGGCAAAGGAAAGGTGATCCTAAAAAGGATGTTTAGGATGAAAAGACAGTGCTGCCACTGGCATAAGGATGTAAAATGTTTTGGTATATGTTCACTTGAAAAGCCTTTTTTCAAGTGTTTGCCCTAATGCTCACTTCCTGACCCGTGGATTAGTGGAGAGCCTGTGCAAGCAGCTTGAGATTGGAACAAGGATGTCTCTCTTGTTTAGGAAATGCAGAGGAAAAGTGAGACCTCTGGGGCTTCTGGATACAGCAGAGCAATCAGATAGACCAAACCCAAATGTGAAGAATAACTGAAAACATAAAACACAGTAAGGAAATAGTTCAAGATTAAAATGAGACATTCTTTGGTACCCAGTGCTGATGGAGATTGAACAGTAGGACTAAGCAGACATGGGGAGAGATCCAGCAAGACAATTTCTAAGCATGACATATGTGCTATCTGATTTGTTTGTTCCAATAAGAAATTCAACTTACTATTGTCAAAACATCAATCATTCTAAAAAGCAAAAGCACAATCTCCATTTTTCATTGGTAATTCAATGTATTTCTAAAAATCCTAGGGATGTCATGACATGAATGAAAGCATGTGCTTAAACCAGTATTGGGCCTCTACTGGAATCAGTGATTTGGGACCCTTCTCTTGATCTTTGGAGTTTTGGAAAGAATGGAGCTCAAGGGTCTCAGTCAAATCCAATGGCAAACCCAAAACAGCGTGTTTTGAGTTTGAAAAGTTAAAGGTACATTTTTTGGATGTGGGAAGAGGGGAAAGAATGTGGGAATCCAGAAATAAAAAAAAAAGTCACCATCTGTGCTTACAGTAAGGAAGTTAAAGTTTCACCAAGATCAGGGTTTCAGGTCAATTATTTTTTCCTGGTCTTCAATTTTATAAAACACCTAATCAGGCATTCTCTCAACATTTCTGAAATGTCTATTTTTTAGCTGTTAATATGATGGATTTAAAGCATATGAAAGTCTACACTGCTTTTGGATGAAATATCATCATGTGCTTACATTTACCACTCTGTTCAGCCCAAGCACTAGCCCACATTGCATAAATCCAGTTTGTCCCCTAAGTCCTTCTGGAACAAGCCAACTATTTTGCTTTCAGGTTATTTTCTCCCAGTGATGGAAAGGCTGACATGGAAAATACCCTCAGTTTTAGGACGAGCCCTGCACAGGAGAGCTACAGCATGAAAACACTGCACTGCCTAACAGCTGGAAATTATTCAGTATTTTACAAATTCCTCTAGGCACTGAGGTAATACAGCAAAAACCTCTCTAGGAAAAAAAAGCTTTGAACCATTAATTAAAAAAAAATCCAACAAACCAAACCAAACCAAACAAACAAACAAACAAACTTCTTCCATAAAGAGCAAGTTAGAAGAGAGAGGAAAAAAAAACAACAAACAGAGAGGGCTCCAGTTACAGATAAAAGCATATTTGCCCTAGGACAAATGAACATCGCACGTCAAGCCCTTTTGCACATTCTGAAGGAACGTGTAGGCTTCTGGCTTCTTACTGGCAAATCACGGGTTGATGGACATGCGTATAAAAACGTTGTTTTTTCTAATTTGTAGAGTCTGAGGGCACTAAAAACTGCCGGGGGGAGAGCCCATCCCTGCTGTGGGACCCGCGTGAGGACTCAGTGCAGCATGACTAAGGGTATTTCTAGATGGCAAAGGAGAGAAATGACCCCAGAATCCTAGAATAGCCCAGGTTGGAAGGGACCCAGAAGGCAATTTTAGGGAGGGTGTTCCTTCAGCTGCAGCTCTGGGCTGAAATGTCCGTTCCCCCTCATAACTCCGGCACCGCCAGCCTGAGGCCTGCGGGTTGTGCCACACGGAAGGGGTCACTTGGTGATAAAGGGTGTGGGTTCAGCCGTTCAGACTCCCAGGGTCTCACTGCTTTGGAGTTAGATGCTAACTTCTATCGTATTTCATTTATTTTTCCCTTCAGGGAAACTTACTTTCGTCTCCAGTCTCAAATTCAAACTTCTGGCTATAGCCGCTGTATCCTGCTGCCGTCCTGACTCTGATATGGAATATGTACTTGGTGGCTGGCTTGAGACCTGTGATGATAACACTCGGAGCCTTGGACCGTGTGGAGGAATAGCTGAGCTGCTCATGCTCCTGGGGGACAAAAGAGGGAAGAAACGACAGCAAGATGAGTCCAACAAACTTTGCAAAAATGATATAACAGAACTGAAGCTCCGTATTCTTCCCATGAATGTAAAATGTGTCTCTAAAAGGAGGTGCAGGTGTGGATTTTCGTACTTTGTGCTATAGTTCTGACATGTATGATATGGCCTTGACTTTTGGATTGCATTTTTTTTTTCTTTAATCTTGCATATTGACATATCTCTGTGACTCGGGTTAGTAATCACACCATAGTCAAACCAATATGGAATTAGTACAAGACTACATTCACAGAAAAAATGGCAACTAGAACGGCAGCTAATTATTTCTGCACAATGGGCAAGCTAGGAGGCCAGGAAATACTAATAAGCTGTAAAGTAAAGACGTGGGAGTATTCAAACGCCCGCTACTCACTTCTACCCGCAGGTAGTGCCAAAATGCCGGCGCTATCCGTGGGTAGACCTGTGGGTAAAAGAAAATAAAAATTAACTTTTTCTTTAAAGCCTGTCAAGTTCTAGCACAGCTCCACTGCTGCCAAACTAAATTTCCAAAGTCCCCTGTTAATGTCCTGGCAGTTGATCCTGGGCAGCTGCTGACTCTCCCAGAGATCCCTGAGAATTGTGGGGTGCAGAGACCCTTGGGAATCAGCAGTGCAGAGCAGGTGCTGCAGCACAGAGCCCAGCCACACCGGCTGCTGTGCCACACCGAGAGCTGCTTTGCTAGACAGGTCTGTGGCGATGCTTTTACACGAGGGAAGAGTGGCTGGCTTGGAGGGAGAGCATTTGTTCCCTGTCATTAGTCACTGTCACTTGAGAAATCAGTAATCTGTAATATTTTATGTGCTGCCTTAAGGCCAGCTTTACTTCAGTGGAGCAGGATTTGTCTCCAATCTGACAAATGAGCAGAAATGTCCTTGGCATATGCTTAACAATCCCACTGTGACACCCAGAGGGCACCATATACATTTATTGCACCATGCAGGACTATCAGAGTAGGGATAAGTTATTCAAAGGGTAATTCCAACCTGCTAAGAGGGAAACAATCTGGTTCACAGAAGAGATATCACCAGGAGAAGAAAAGGTTACAGTAGGATTCTGTTGGACTCTTAACCTCTTGGGAGAAACATTCCCATACAAACTTTGTACATAAAACAAACAGTTTGATATGAAACATGCTGAGTTAATTTCAGTCATGCGTAACAAAGTAACATTAGCACAGGGCAGCAGGTATATCCCTGCTCCCCCACTAGGCCTACAGGGAAATGACTGGGAAAAACACATTAAAAAAGCACACACACCAAAGCAACCTCATGATTCTGTTAAGTGAAGGAGCAGAAGGAAGGCAAAAGTGACCAATGTATAAAATAACTGCATTTAACAGTTAGTTTAGTTAGTAACTGCTGCTCACTTCAAGCAGAAGAAATACTTTGAGAAACTATAGTAAGAAGAAGTGTTGATTTGTTTTAGAGGCTCTCACTAAATTTTGAAGCTGTGAGTGTTTAGATTGAAATAGTAAGGTACAGTGTACATGTAATGTCATGGACAGAGACTATAATTAAGATACTATTATTAACTACTTTGACTGTTAAAAAACTGCTATTTAAGACAAAACGATTCATAGCTGGAAATTTCATATGGCTGGGATGTTTTTTACAAAGAATTCAGCCTTTTTGGACTGGATTCAGACATGAGACAATTCTCCAAAGAGCGGATGCTTTGCCATTATTCTGTTCTCTTGACAGTGACAACACCTGCAGCCTACCTGGAAAGCCAAAGCTTTCCACGGAGAGATGCAGTTTGAGGGGGATGGGGGTGGCTCTCAAGGCTGGCATCTCCTTCTGCTGTGATCTTTTGCAAGAAGGCTAAAGGCAGTCTCAGACTGAAAACAATACAGTTCTAGTCTGCAGAGAGGTATGGGATGCTTTGTTTTATTCTTGCTACAGATCACATGCCCTACTTTTTGCAGGGATTCTGGGTTCAAAAATTGAATTTTAAACTGAAGGACGTAGGTGTATTTCCTGGATGTTAGTGCTTGCTTTTTCCAGACCTCACTTTTGCGTCGTGGCAAAATGCAGATATACATCAACCCCTGTGCACCCTGTTTTCCATCAAAAGGAAGCATGACTTTGAGTGCTGGGAGAAGCCACAGTATGGTCTGTGATAGATCTCTGACCTGAACAGTGACAGGACCAGGGTCGGTGGGAACTGCCAAGGACTATATTTATTTTGTATTTCTTGAAAACTACAGAGGACTAGTAAAAATCTGCAAAATAAAATAAAAGCTTCATTGATATGGCTGTATTTCCCACGACACATAAGGAGTAAGAGAAGTGTTGGCCACTGTATATGGCCCTCATATAAAAGGGAGGGTACAAGAAATGCTCTGAGCCTTTACAACATTATCAGAGCAGCATCTGTGATCTTAAGATGGCACAGCACTGACAAGCAGCAGTTCTGAGAACACAGTGGCCAGAGGGTTAAACACAAGCTGAAGTTAAATATAATATACTCGTAGAACTGCTGGACAGAATCTGATATGAGGAAATTCATTAGATCTCTTCCATAGCCTACTGCAAATTTATCTTGGTGAAAATCTGTAATTAAAACATAAATATAATCCAAATGCAAGTGATGCCAGTGTTATGGCACAATATAATACCCAGTCTGTGACTAGATATCCAGGTTAAACGAGATTATATTATGGACTTTGAAAAATGTTATCTCCATTTCTAAGGAAATTGTATTTTTCTTATTGTTTGGGTGATTCTTCTTGGCAATGGGTTCAGTTTTGATTATAAGAGACAGTGTTGGTCTGTGCACCAACAGGAACACCTTTCAGAATGAAACCCTTTCCTGCAGCCACCTCTGTGTGGGTATCTGAATCCAGATCCATCCTAATTTTATACTTGGCTTTGTAGTCAGGACATTTGTTCCATATCTCAGCTGACTGAATGGAAGCTCCAGCGGTGCCAGGGGACTCAGAGCAGACAGCCTAATTTACTGGAGTACCAGCACCAGAGGGGAAAAGGTAATGAAAAGCTTTCTGCTTTTGCAGAGCACCAGAGAAGCTGCATCTGTGCCATCAGCAAACGCTGGGATGAAACGTTTCCACTCTATAACATCACCAGATTAAACTGCAGTTCTCCACTCACTGCAAGTAGCTACTTTATTAGTGCCATATCCATTCAATATCCAGATGTTCTATTATTGTGATGATTAGCCCCATTTTCCTCGTGTGCTCAAGAGGAGGGGGATTCCCCCTGGTGACATTAACACTTGCAAACAAACACGCTCACACGCCACCCCTGTGGGAACACTTGAACCTTCCCCCCTCTTACTACAGGGGGAAAAAGCACAGAAATGAAGGCTTTTAAACACATATAAAGGAAAATATTGCAACAAAAATAATAGAAATAAAAGCTGAAATGCAGAATTTTCCTTAAAATGGTCAAATAACCTTTAAAAGATGAACCTTACCAGTAAAGCACTGATAGAAATCCGGGGACTTTCAGGTGTACAAGATTTATACTTAAGCCACATGATCCTGCTTGGCCTGCTCAGAGCATTATTATTTAACTGAAAGAAATACTAACAAAGATTAAATCTATACACCAAGGGACCAGGGCTTTATCCTGTACCCTACAGCACAGTGTCAGAGCTGAATAAATACCACATTAAAGTAAAAAAGGTTTGGAGTTTCACGATTCTCACACTATAAACGTTTAACTAAAAGCATCATTTTTTTTTTAAATGAGATGATTGAATCACATCTTTTCTAGATACAGCAGTTTGAAGAATATACACAATGTGACCTACAGAGGAAGGTTCATTCTTTCAAAGGAATGACCACAATTCTGAAGACAGAAATTTTTAGTAACTAAAGCTCTAGTTTGTTGTGAAACTAAATCTTTAAATTCTTCCTTACTTTTCCCATGGAATCAGCTGTGATGGCACTCCACTTGAACTTTAATGTTGTGATACACATTAGAATACAACAGTAGTTATTGACTAGGTGTAGTAAATATGCGATTGATCAGTTCAAATAGAATCTAGTAAGGCAAATCAAATCTACCTGTGGAGTCTGTACCAACTCTCTATGATCTCCAATAAAACAGAGCCTCCCTAGCTGTAATTTAAGGGCATTGCCTCTGATTTATACTGCCTGTATTCCTGCCACAACTAATTCTCAAAAAGGATTTTCTTTCTTTGCAATAAAATATTTTCACGAGTTCTGAATTCCTGTTGTCTCATCACACTGGTTTCTCTTCTTACATAAATTGTATTAGATGGGGAGTACACTCAAATCATCAAAATTAACTACATTAATATTAATTTGAGTTAATTTTATTAACTCAAAGTCCATCTTTGAGAGCTTCTTTATATTCATTAATTTGGTGTTTGCTTTTCTCTTAGAGGAGTATTTTGACTTGCAGTCAAATTAACAGGAATGCTGGCAGTAATATTTGAAAGATATTAGAGAGAAGACTCATAGGTTCAGAAAAAGTGCTTCTAACATTAATTGCTGTCTGATTACCATCTGATCAACAGGGTTAGACAAACAGAGTGACAAGAAAAATGACAATAATAGAACTAATTGTAAAAGGTACCACTGATACTCTTACAGTAAACAGGCTTCCCAAAAGCTTTGGATCTTTGGTTCCCAGCTGAACAACAAACTTAAGGTAAATTTAGAAAAGTGAGCCCAAAGATGTGAGGATCAGTCTGATCCAAGCTGAAAACTGTGACAAGACAAAGCAGAGCCATGGAGAAAGTTGCCAGTGGCTGCAGTGTGTGCTTCAGAGGAGACCCCTGCAGCGCTAAAGGTATCAGCCACTTCAGGCTGTAACCTGCTCCCTTCCCTTCCTGGGATTAACCTGGGATGTAACACTTTGGGAAGCTGAAATGCTGAAGTGTGCTTTACCTGCTTGGCCATTCAATATTTTATGTTCTGATTGCCTCACTTTCTGCCCATACAAAGTGAAGCCGTCAGGGAGGGATGGGGAAGAACAAAGAACCAGTCATAAGGAAAATACAGAAAGGTCAAACCCCAGACAAACCTCCTTTGAATTGCATTATACAGTGGGCAAGGCAGAAATGAGTTGGTGTGAGGTGAACCATGAAGAGCAGAACATGAAAGGAGGAGAGATGAGGGCAGGGAGACTCTAACCTGGTGTTACAATCCCCCCAGCACAGACAGGGAGGGGTGGGCAGAGCCAGGCCGTGGTTAACACGATCAGCTGAATGGGACTGCAGGGTGTGAAGGCATCAGACGGGACACTGCCTGTTGTGCTGACAAAGAGATTAAACTGAAAGGAATAAAAGCAGGTCTGTGCCTCAAACTAGTGATGGAACAGGGGCCATTCAGCACATAATAAAGGCAGCTGGCAAACATGGCGTGAATTATCAGATAAGCACAGATATTAAATTCCATTTTTCTGTCAGTTATGAGCTTCTCTGATAACA